CTAGTATATTAGTATTATTGTTATTATTATTATTATTATTTAGTTATTATTACTAAAATATTAAGTTATCAACTGCAGTGATTCACTTAACAACTATGGCAAGACAGATCGTAAAACACAGCAAAACTCAGTTAAAGCATGTCTCCCCTAACAGGAATTTTGGCCTCCACTGCGGTCTTGAGGACTACCTGTACGGTTCACAGCAAGCCCTTCACCTGTGTTTAATTTATTCCAGCCTGTTCATCTCTCCTCCAACCTGGCCGTCAAACTCACTCACCTCAAACCTACCTCTCCTTGACAGCCCATGGGTTTTGCGGAGGGCACCCTAAGTTGCAGCAGCTACTACCACCTTTTGTCTTATCGGTGGAGACCCACCGTTGGCTTTGGCCAACCCAACAACCCATTGTTGCAACGCATCCACCCGTTGTGAAGTGACTAGCGCAGAGATCTCCTTTCTATTTATTTTTATATTTCCCACCCCCCCAAGCTCAAAGTGGTGTGAATGGGTTATAGTTATAGATCTCGCTTCCTTCCCAGAACAGGCCTGGGTCTGGCCCCCGCCGCCCTCCGTCCATCCAGTTTCCCCCAAAACCTCTGAATCATCACAAAACCAGAACACAACACGCTCCGACACCCACCGCCAACAATAGAGGCGGAGGGCTTATGGGGTGGATGAGGGGCTTCCATACGTTCTTCTTTGCCATAGGAAGCCAGCTCTTTGGAAACACTTCCTAGGACCCATCATCCCTTCCTAGGTTCTGCCTTTTTTGGGGAGGGGGGGGCATTAAATTCTCTAAATTTGGGGAAGGTGTTTTTTTCCCACCCCCTCCTTTTTTCCCTACTCGGGTTCCCACCCAGTTCAGCCCCCAAGGAGCGGGATCCCGGGCAGAAAATCGGGGGGCGGGGGAGAGAGGTGCCGCCCTTGGCTCTTCTCGCCCTGCTCCCCAAAGCGCGATTCCGGATCTCGGGATCTTCCCGGGTGAGGCGAACCTCCTCGGCCGGATTCTTGTCGGCTTCGAGAGATCTACGGTTGTTTGTATGGAGGGAAGGGCAGGCGAGGGCATTTTTTTCCCCCTTGCCTTGGCCGTTCTTCAGCCCCCCACCCCACCGCCCACACTTCAGCCGGGAAGGGGGGGTGACCCTTCTTCCGACCACCGGACTCGGTTGATCTGCCCAGCGCCAAAGATCCGCTGCCAAAAAAAAAAAAAAAAAAGCCCTACCTCGCCAAGGTTTTCAGGCTGCTTGTGGAGTCCTCGGATTGTGCCCGTTCAGGGAAAGTCCGCCATCTTGCATTAAAAAAAAAAAAAACCGACTGCACTTTTTGGGAGGGGGGGGGGGGGGGATGCTTTTTGAACTTTGAACTGGATCCCGCTTTTTTGGGGGGGGAGGAGGGGAAAAAAAACAACCCCCCCAAACAAACTTCCTTTCCCCGATTCACTTTTGCCATCCAGCTTGCAACATCCTCCTCGAAAAGTAACGCGCGTCCGGAGCTATGAAATGCATCTGTTTTACTAAACGGGGAGGGGAAAGGAGGGAGGGAGGGAGGATCTGGGCATCCCCGCTACATGCTCAACCCGGAGGACGGGCAGACGGGCGGGCAGGAGCAGCGGAGAGGCGGGGCCAGGCCTCCCTTGCAAAGCGTCTCTCATTGGGCCCCGCCCCCCCTCCCCGTCCCCCGAGTGTGGGAAACCAGGCGGGGAAGGGAGGGGAGGGTCGCCGCCTCCCCCGTGAGCCAGCCGGAGCAAAAGAAAGCAAGCGGCTGATTGGCCGCGGTGACGTTCGGCGGGGCTGGAAAGGGAAGGGAAGAAGGAAAGGAGGGGAGGGGAAGGGAAGAAAAGGGAAGGGAGGAGAGGAAACGGAAGGGAGGAGAGGCAAGGGGAAGGGAAGGGGAAGGAAAGAAAGGGGAGGGGAACAGAAGGAAAGGAGAAGGGAAGGGAGGAAAGGGGAAGGGAAGTGAGAAAGGGGAAGGAAAGAAAGGGGAGGGGAACAGAAGGGAAGGAGAAGGGAAGGAAGGAAAGGAAAGGAAAAGGAAGAGGAAGGGAAGTGGGGAAGGGAAAGGAAGGAAAGGAGAAGGGAAGGGAGGAAAGGGGAAGGGAAGGGAGGAAAGAGGAAGTGAAAAAGGGGGAGGGGGAACAGAAAGGCAGATCTGCTCGTTTTGTGCCCTGGCCTGGAGGATCCCTTGTGGCCGCTGACTTTCTTTCAACAGGCAAACCTAGGGGGAGGATTCCAAAATATGCTCCCCCAACTGGACTTTGGTTATTTTTCTTTGAGGTTTCGCTTCTCCTCCAAGAAGTTTCTTCATCTCTGACTGGATTGGGGGGGTGGGGGGGAGAAGACTGCAAATGACCAGCTGTCTGCAAGGAATATAAATCCTTCCACTCCCCACCATCCAGTCAGAGCTGAAGAAGCTTCTTAGAGGAGAAGCGAAACATCTTCAAAGAAAAACCAGAAAGTCCAGTTGCCTTTTGGAAAAAAAGTACCTTCGGGACAACCATGACCTGGATGACTGAGAATCTCCATAGACACGGAGAGGATCGGAGCAGTCCCGGTAAAATTAGGGCAGCAGTTCAAAGTGATCTGGAAGTCCATTCTGGCCCTGCTCCTACTGGAGCCACCAGATCGGGGCTGCAGAAATTCAGGCAACCCTTGAGAGGATTCCATCTTGGGAGTTCACCCCCTTGTTAAACAACCGGCTGTGGAAAGTTATGTATGATGCTTTTTCGGACAGGAAAGCTGTTGCCTAAGGTGCTTTTTCAAAGGGTAACTGGACTTTTTCCTTGAAGACATTTCGCTTCTCCTCCAAGAAGCAGAAGTGAAGAAGCTTCTTGGAGGAGAAGCAAAACATCTTTTGAAAGCACCTTTGCCTTTTGAAAAAGCACCTTTGGGACAATCATAACCTGGATGACTGAGAATCCGGGTCGCTGGTTCCTCCATGCTCTGGCATCAAGTTTTGTCGGTCAGTTCATCTAAAGAGCATCAGACTGAAGATCTCCAGAATTTAGGGCCAAAAAAAAAAAAAAACCTGTTTAACCACACACCATGGTTTGCAATAAATGGGGAGGGGGCAGAATCTGCCCTAGCTTCTCCAATCATCTCCTGTATTTTGCACATTTTGTATTGGTTTATGAAATTTTATAAAGCTTTCTCATGGCTCTGGGTGGTGCAGTACAATTATGAAAGCAATTGAAAACACTACAAAAGGACAGTGCCCAGGGAGGAAAAAATGGAACATTCCTAAAAGCCATTCGTGGCACAAAGGAGCCGACGTTCATTCAACATGCAAACTGGATTGCACTGTTACGCATCAATATTTTACATTTTTCTCAATAATTAACGTGAAGGCAGTGTCAGAAGCTCTGGGAATGGTCTAGCTAAAAACATGATGGCTCACTTAGAAAAGCCAAGCTCCAGCTGGATACTGTACACTAATATGTTGACCTGGGTTATGTACTTGGCTTTGGATTAGTGTATTGTGCAAATTCAGCCATGCTTTTTGTGTATGTGAATGATTTAAAATATTGGCAGTTTTCTCATCCCAGATGATCCAAATGATGGCATTTGCAGCAGAGTTTTTTTTCCCTATCCACTGAGATCACTTTCCTCGTTACCATCCATCCAACTAGATTACATGAGAAATTATACTTATGCACTCCAAATGTAAATTTACTATTTTACTTAGCTTATAAAAACAATTCAAAGCTAGATTCCCGCTATCCTGATCTAACATCCAAAAGTTGAAGATCCCAGCTTACTTAAAAACTAGATTTGGACATGGAACTTTTTTTCTTAAGCAGCAGGGGGCAAAATCAAAAGGAGAAGGTATAGTTTATAATAAACCTTGAAGAAACATTTAGAAGATTAAAGACAATTGATTGCTAGGTACATTCTAATGAAAAACAAAGGTTTTTTAGCATTTCCCATGGTACTGGGCAACTTTGAAAGCCTTCAAACATCTGGGGTCACATCTGTTACACCCTTAGCCTCCAGGCTGGAAATTTCAGAGTGGAAGCAATGGAAGAGTTCCCCTTTTTTTCCTGTGAAAAAAAATACTGGGGAGTAACATTTCATGTCAGGTAGTTCCCAACGTACAACAGTTCATTTAGTAAGCAAAGTTACAAAGGCACTGGAAAAAGTGACTTATGACCATTTTCCATACTTGTTGCATCATCCCCGTGGTCATGTGATCAAAATTTGGATGTTTGTCAATGGATTCATATTTATGACGGTTGCAGTACCCAGCAATTATGTGAATCCCCTTCTGTGACTTTATGACAAGCCAAGTCCATGGGGAAGCCAAATTCACTTAGCAAGCTTGTTACTAACTTAATAACTCTGGTGATTCACTTAACAACCGTGGCCGAAAAGGCAGAAAGATGGGACAAAATTCACAATGTCTCGCTTAGCAACAGAAATTTGGGGCTCAAATATCCCCAGCCCTGGTGAGTTTTCAATCACCTGCATTTGCAAGGATCAGCTATGCAGAGAGCTGCCAATGGGCGTAATCTCCATAATCCCACAGTATGGAGCTCTCCTCAGTACCAATCCAGGAACAACAGTGATTATTTTAATCTTCAGCAAACGATTTGGGGCTAAGGTTGCAACTAGTACATGTACCTGGGGGGAAAAATACCATCTATAATTAGTATCAGGAGTAATTTATTTTGTCTATTACAATTTTAATATATTTATATATTACATAACATTTGGACCATTACAAAGATTGCACAAACAGTATTAGCACTAGAAATTAGTGCAAATCCCCCCCCCAAAAAAATGCTGTTTCAATTGAGCTAATAGAACCAAAAATATTGTCTCCAGTCAAAGCAATTTGATGATAACAGTTAAACATCATGTGCAATTCAACATATATACATGATTTGATTAAAGAACATTGGGATAAATTAATATTTTTATTCAATTTACAGAAAAAAATATGTATTTTTCAACAGATCAACGTCCTCCCCACATAAGTAGCTTGACAGATTAAAAAAGAAACAGCCTAAACTGATTAGATTCTGATAGTTGTAAGAGGTTCAGTTCCACAAGGGAGGAAAAAGCAAGCACGCAGTAGGTTAAGACTGTCAGGTACCATTTGCCTTCTGTAATTCTTGTTCTCGATGTAGGGTTTGTCCTCTATGAGTAAAAATCTAGAAATGCTATATTAGATAAAACCTACTGTGCATGTATAATATTTGGTCTCACATTAATTTTCAATAGGATTTCAGGGATTTGAAAATATTATGAAATTGTGAATTCATATGGATTGAAGGCTGCAATTTCTCTTGTCATTGCCTGAAAATGGAAAAAAGAATACATACAACACTTTAATACCTGTGTATCTTCCTTCTATTGTTGACGTATAGTTTTTGATTGTAAAAGTTTGTGTTGCAGAGGTTTGGTGGGGCAAGCAGTCATTATGTATATTTCCCTTCAAGGACAGATTCCTTTCTGATCTCATGAAATTGCCAGCATTTGCCATTTCGGGTGAAGTCAGAATTCTGAAGAATTTTGGCCTAGCATGAATGAGCTTCATTCCTTCAGGGTGGCTCTTCTGATGAGACACAAAAATGGTTCTCTGGCTTGTTTGCCAGATACCAAGCCAATTGCTCAAGTTTCCAGCTCGTTTTGTTGGAAGAAACAAAACAAGATTGGCCTGACACATTAAAAGAACACTGGAAAGTTCTGCTATTTATTCACAATCACGACTTAGCTATCCAAGCAATGTCATCCCCACATTTTCAACATTTAAAAGAAAAAAAAGTTAGGCATAAAGAAACACTATTTTGAAAAAAATCAACCAAGTTTCCCCAATTTGGAGGCAAATGCAAATCATGAGACCATTTTTGACCAATGAGCACCTATAACTAAACCAAAGGCGGTCAAATTTAACTCTAAACTTAAAACACACATTTTGTGTGAATGGCAGGTGCACGTGAGCGCAGGCTCCCACCATTTTGCACAAGTGGAACTTTGCGCACAAGTACCTGTCGCAAGTGGAGCTGCTTGGCTCCAAATGAGCCATGGCCCAGTAGTGGGCCGCAGCCCAGGAGTTGGGGACCCCAGATATAAAGCAATCTCATTGAAAGGCATCAGCTCTCAGTAACAATTTAAAGGGATACTTTGTTATAGCAAAGGCTTAACTAATATCCACATGGAGAACCGAACTGCTATGGGATAGTTCATCACATAAGGAAACAAAATACATGTGAATACAAGAGACCCAACAAGATGTTTATAGATTGTAAGAAGCACAGTTGAAGCATGTTTCTTCCAAATGTAAAATGACAAACTTGGAATCACATGTCCCAATAAATGCATATATATAATTACTCTTTTAATCTTTTTTTTCAAACGACAGACTAATGCATTAGTACAGGGGTATCAAACTCATGTCGTCACAGTGGCATCACGTGACTTTTTCCCCCTTTGCTAAACTGGGCGTGGGTGCAGCCAGCACGTGACACATCTGGCCCGCAGGCCGCAAGTTTGACAGCCCTGCACTAGTACAATAGGAGAGCTGCAATAAGACACAATACAAACTTTGATATCTACTATGAGAGAATACTAGAAATATATATTCAGATGCAGACTTAAGTTATCACTAGAACACATTCATGAAAAACACTGTACCTCAATCAATTTGCTTTTGTCATAGTCTCCACGATGTCGGTAAATACACTGACTCAGTAAGGCATAGAGTTTCTCCAACTCAAGTATAGTGTAGTCTCCACTTTTGTCAACAACCACATCCAGTAATTTCTGGAGAAAACAGAGGACTACTATTTATTCCTTCAAATAAGATCAAGCATTTATTAAATCATTTTCAAGAGTCTGGCTATCCTTCCATACATTCTGTATATACTTGCAGATATGTAAGAATTTTCAGTGCCAAAATACTGTATGGCCCCCACCCCTACAGTTTGGTTTATCTGTGAATAGGCTTATGTGCAAATATGTAGAGTAATACGTTTTTAAAAGTACTTGTATATTTTGTATATATATTTATATAGTAGAGGATAAGTCAATTTGTGGATATTATAAGCAGATCTTGAATTTTTAACCAAAACACCATAAAAAATGCATCACACATGATAGACCAACTGTTAAAATTAAAACACATGAATATTGAGAGTTGGCATATCCCAAACATAGCAATTTCCTATATGGAATAAAATGACATTTTAAAAATAAAACAGGTTTCCTTTATGATTTTAGCAGTGAAGCTATTTGTAAACCTGAGCTATTTTGTCTGTTGTCCTTTGCCAAAACTATTTAACTATTTAACATCTTAGTTTGTAACTTCCAAAATATTACTTTGGTTTGAGTACAAACACATTTCAATTCACTGAGATGGTATAGAAAATACATAGCATAATTTATACTCCATTTATGATTATTAGAAACTGTGACCTAACAGCAAGGCAATATTTAGCAGATTTAACATTAAGAATTATTCAGAAAAAAAGACCCACCCATCCCCATGCTCACAACAGAAGGTAAGACACTCTGCACTCAGGTGTAGACCAGGGGTGTCCAACCTTGGCAACTTTAAGACTTGTGG